CGCTATGCACATGATATACTTAAGCGAATTTGAATTGCAAGGCTTGGGCATTCTTGAATCCTAACATCAGGGCATATCAACCAAAATTATCACCTCCGCGAACCAACGACCTCGGAGGCCATGTTGCGTTTAAGCCGCACGCAAAGAACAACAAGCAAGGCCTCTGAGTAGACCGTCAACGCCAAAGATGGCCGCAGAGATCTCAACTAGGCCTCCATACGAACACTAGTGGCTAACATTTGACTAGCCCTCCATACGAACACTAGCGGCTAGCATCTGACTGGTCCTCCATACGAACACTGGCGGCTAACATCTGACTGACCCTCCATACGAACACAAGCGGCTAACATCTGACTGGTCCTTCATACGAACACTAGCGGCTAAGCTAACGTCTGACTGGTCCTTCATACGAACATTAGCGGCTAACGTCTGACTGACCCTCCATACGAACACTAGTGGCTAATATCTGACTGGCCCTTCTAACAGCTGACTGGCTCCCTTCACCCCGATCACCCGGTAATTCACTGAGAAATGTGGACTCTGCGCTCTTGCTTCTGGTAGTTTTGCGCACAAACGCGTATCATGTGATATGATTAAGACGGGCCTCGTTTAAAGAGCCGCAAACAACTTTTTCTTACAACACGTAAAGAAAGCTCAGATATTTCCTTATGAGTGATGTTTTCCTTTTGCCAGCTGTTAGTTCTAGGGTGCCATATTTGTTTTGTGTGCAGTTGATCTTTGATATGGACGCTGTAGAAGGTTGACGCCACGCAGTGGTACCACTGCTACTTTTCACGCTCATGTCGGTGGTACGTCATATCATCATTGTCACATTCACATCGTCGCGTTGTCTGTCACATTCTATCCTATGCCACATTCATACCGTTACGGGGCTGAGAGCCTAAGCCCGCTTTTGTAGGTGGGAAGGCTCCGGCCGAACTGTAGCGGTTAGTGGCGGCTTGCAGGCTGCTCTTTGGAGTCGCAATATTACCCTCGCTGTAAGAATCATAACGCTGGGGACTTGGACATAACTTTGTAGGCTTTTCGGGGCCCATCCAAAAATAATTTCCGTCTTTAATCACGCCTTTCAGTCATTCCCTGATCATATAACTCAATTTAAACGGATAGCGAAGTGTGTGCATTAGGCGAAAAGCTCCAAAAATAATTTAAATGACGGTGGAAGCCCCACGACCACTTTTGCAAGGTCAACAGCATGTAGATGTGATGCAAAGATATGATAAGGTCATTCTTGCTCGACTCCCGTTATCTTCGCAATGTTTTGCCTCCACGGTGAGGTTACTTCTTGCGGATTATGGCGATGCCCAGAAAGTCGGTTACGAAACGCTCAAAATTACTGTTCGGGCCCCTGATTGTTTTTCCAAGTCATGCCTATGGTTGGGAAAAGCTTTTGATGCCTTAAATTCCCTTAAGACAGTTCTTTCGTCTTACCAGCAGCGAAGTGAAGTTCGGCATGCAATATCGAAGAAGAGCTCAGTAAATTACAGGAAAAGACAGGTTATTGCTGATCACCTAATGCATGTCGCCGCATTGAAGCACCGTTCCGCACGATCACTGTGCTGTCATGGTCCTTCTTGCTCTCATTCAATATTGTGGTGCATTGACTAGCCTGACTTGACAAGCATCATAAACTTTCCTGACTTGATTAACATAAACACTAGTTGCAATGGCGTGGAGACGCAAGGGTAGGAGACCAGGGTTTCAAGTCTTTTTGCTCGACCTTCTTTAACTTTGAAAGTTGTTGCCTGATCGGTCGGGCTATTCTTTGTTTATGAACAGTTACAAGTGTCAAGGACATTTTCCCGAGAAAATGTTTTGAGCGTGAGGACAATCTTAGTAACGCAGCACAACATTACTCGTATGACATGCTGCGTCGCAGCGGTCATTCGTCAAGGCAGACTGTCACGGACACTGCATAGCCGAGCAACCAATGCATTTTCAAACCCCAGCCATTTAAATCACACAAAATGTTGTGTAAACTTGAGGTGGACGAAACTTTTTTGCCATGCAAGGACGGACTGTAGCGCCGAGTAATGACATGGCGTCGAAAGCATATCAAATGGGCTTATTTACACGTGATTGTTTCTTATGAACATTGTGTTTTGCAGATGGATAGCAAAGAGGCGCAGGTCTGTTCTTACTAAACCAGTTATGGGTATGATTTTGATGGGTGTCAGCAAACAAATACAACCAAATTCAAATATTACGTGGCAAATTTGATGTATTGGTATTTTTATCACAATCGCGTGTAGATATCTTGGTGCACGATCTATGCCAACGTTGGGCGCGGTTTTACTTCAGATGAAAAGGTACCAGGACCCTGGGAAGTGGGCGTTGGTTTGAGTCCCCCTGAGAAGTGGGCGTTGGTTTGAGTCCTCCACTCGGATCTACTTGTTAGTAACGACAAGGCGCCTCACCCTGAAAGATGAAGCTGCGTTTAAGTTGCCGCGAGTCTGCACATTTCAGCTGCTTTTAGCGGTTGAAGCCAAGTCAGCGTGGAATCTGGTCCTGAAGTAGTCTGCTGAACATCCGCAATTACATCCCAAAGAATTTTTACATACCAATTCAATGGAAAGGGCTCTAGAGATTTTCAGATTACTTAAATATTTTAAAAAATGTTTTTTTAGGTCTGAAAATACAATGCATGTGTAGTTGAGGCGGTCGGGCAGATGCATGCATGCATGCAGTCACCGGGAAGAATGCATCAGTAGTGAAATGTCAGTGATTAATTTTTTACCTCAGAAAGTGTGACCAGAATAGAAAGGTGTGCTCTGAACGCCTGTAAATCACGAGCAATGTGGGTCCAATGAATGTCTGGTTCGTTTTAGAGTGCAAGATTGAACGCCCTAATCGTTTTGGGTTTGATCATTAACTTGTCTCAATGAGGAAGAAAATTTTAAAGGAATGTATCATCCCGGATTAGTTGTGTCGCTTCGGGCTGGAGTGTCTCTCTTCGGGTACAATTTGATATTATTTATGTCATCACTTCTGTAAACGAAACTTGTTGTGGCTTCCTTTGTTTTGAAACAATTATTTGCATTTGATTTCAGTTATAGTATGACTCATCAAAGGAAAAATCAGGGGCATGATTGTCATTACTAGATCACCTGCAGTGCTCTTAAAACAAAGCGAATATTACCATTTGTTTCGTGCATTTTTTAAGCCTTGACCGAGCCCAGTTACCTCTCTTAAGCTTTTATAGTCTATAAATCCAGTTACCTCTTTTCATATCTCTCTGTTAGCAATTATCGGGGAGCTATTGAAATGCCAATTGCGCCAGTAGTTGGTATGTGCATTATATTACACAAGGTTGCAAGCATGACATGATTGTGTACGTCAACGAAAGTAAACGACGCTTTATTCCTCTTACTAACAACTCCCCAACTAAGTGTCGCTATTTGTATTGATTTGTATGCTATGGAGGTAGACAAAACGACTGCCAGGCATGTAGATAGACAAAACGACTGCCACACTGGTAAATAATGCTACAGCATAACTTTGCCAAGGCCTATCCTTTGAAATAACATGTTCGTAGCATGCTGATTTTGGGCGCAAAGCGATCAAGACATTTAAAATCGGGTTATGATGCCTAGTAGCTATCAACATACGACAGTATTACGGCAAAATGTGTTCTGATATAAGAAAAGACATGTAGAATGTGTAAAGATCTCATCCAAATGTTATTCATGCTTTGTATTACTTGCTGGAATACGGAACCTTTTGGGTGACACGGTACTGGGTTTCTTTATTAGCAAGGTGTATGCAATTGAGCGTTAGTTTTTGTGTGCGGAACATGCTGCAGTTTTTCACTTATTGTGAGCAGAAAATATCCAACTTAGAAGGCATGCAAATTATTTATCAATTCATCCACTACCCGGCTCACCCCTAGAACAAAATATATGGGTAGGAGCCAGTGGCCATTCTGTATCAATTCAAGGAACATAACATACCACCACTGCCATTTTTACAGCAATGATATATTCCAAGAATTGTTTCGCAACGCAAGCTCCTGGCCTGCCACCATCGGGTTGCGGGAGGGCAAAAGTTAGCAATCAGTGACCTACGGTCCATTGGCCTCACATCTTCCGAACTGTTGCCGCTGTGATGCGCAGTGTGTCAGTCATCAGAGACAAATGACCGGACTTGCGAGACCCACGGCGAAATCACAACGTTCTTAGCTGCAAAGGCGCTCACGACAGAAGCAAGGAAAACTTAAAACGGCTGGCTTTAGATGATGTAATGCACCGCGCCTTTTACTGGGCACTTATTTTCTATTGTGGACGCTTGCAGTAAAGCGGTGAACCCATGATTTGAATTATGTCCTCACTGATGTACATTGCTTAGGACAAGCATATTTTTGCGATAGAACACCCTGTGCTGAATATCTTACAGCAGATGGCATGTCGTGCGAACCTGTTTAATGGCATGACTGCTGGGGAACATTACCGCACAAGTCTGCGGGTGCGGTGGGCACTACATCGTCCATCAATTCGGTTTTGTGTCGTCATTTATGTGTCAGAGTGTCGACAGACTCTGTATGCTGTTCACCAGCCACATTACTGCGTCGGATAAGGCTTCTACACGCACTGAACGGCCATAAAAGTCAGTGCATTGCGCGAAGCCTTCAAACTTGCAGCTTGTAGAGCTGTTTCTGCCGGCGCTGGGGCCCGAAGCGACCGGACACTATCAGCCCCAGTACCCCGTCTCTTCTCAGACCCGCGCCGATAATTTCTTCATCTTTCTCGGCTAATCATATGGCATTTGTTTGCTGGGTAAAAACTGGATAGAGCCGTTCGGCGAGGCCCGGCGGACCGGGCTGGCCAACGCTGCGTGCCGGGCCGAGGGACGGCCCACGTCGGAGCGCGCGCCGCCCGCTCATTGGTCCGCGCCCGGTCACGTGGTATTGAGTAATGTCGGCCCCGATGAGCGAGTGACTAAAATGTTTCTTGATCAAAACTTCAGTGTGCTCATGTAGTCGCGTGAAGTGATAGTAACCCTTTTGTAATTGTTTATTGTTTGTCGGTGCGGTTTGGTTGTTTTGCGTGTGGGTTTGTGACACGGCACGTTGATGTGAGACAACTATGGACGAGATCCCTTGGAGGTGTCGGACGAGGTAAGCCCAAACTGTGGCATTTGGAGCTTAAGCTGCGGTCCCCAGGCGCGCACTGAGCCATTTTCCTGGTCAAGAATAGCTAATCCTAATGCTGTTTGATGCCCTTGTTCATGGATCTTTAACAGGCAGGCCAGATAACTCAGAATATCTCTGCTGAGAGTGCTTTGGAGGTGCAGCGCCAAGCGATTGCCATACCTCGAAGTATGCATCATGTGACTGCTATCTTCCATTAAAGATACCCGCCTAACATGTAGCTAAATTTTACCCAGTTCTAGTCACTGTAAAATTGAACCAGTCAGTGTACTGCCATTAGCTGTTGGCATCCGCCAGCACCATACGAGCTAGGTCTGTCATCAAATTTAGTTGTCTCTATATATAACAATCTTGAAACTGCACCGCACCCTAACATTTGACGAAAAAGGCGATAATGCCCTGACGTCTGAAATGATTTTTAAAAAGCTTGGCGCGAGTGGCATCTAGTTCAGAAATGATAGCCCTGTGTTATATAAGTCACCATAAAGTATTGTGTTGACTCATGGTAAGGGTACGTGCGGTGCAACACCGTGGCAACAAACCGATTATTCGCATGCTACGTGCACCAATTGCTGCAACGTCACAACTGCGCCCGAGAGCAAGCAAGCACTCCCCATCACGTTTCCAACTGCAATGGCGCAAGCGCTCGCTCTGCACCACAGCCGTCCATCCCCGGGCGCCGGTGGGTCTGATTCACTGTTCACCCCGGCACCTCGCTCATGCCCCCTCCGATCGAAGCCCTGCATCTCCGCTGCAGCGTCTCGTGCCCCGCGCCCGGGCGTGACCGGGCCGGCTCGGGCGCGCTCTTTTCCGGCTCGTTTGGCGGCGATCGGGCCGCCCGGCCGCCACCGCCGCCGCGGCCGCTCGCAGCCGATGGACGGCGACAGTTATTGCCGCCGTTACGCCGCTGATCCCTGCACGCTCACAGCTTGTCGCCCGCGACGATCGCCGCGCAGAGTGCAATGGCTCATAACCGTCGCCGGCCGTGTCGCCGCCGACGAATGAGTCCCGCCGGCGGCCGGCGGCCGGGCGCGCCGGGCCCGCGTGCCGGCTATCCCGAGAGTGCGCTGTATGTGGGCAGAGATACCGGGAATGCTGAGGTGGGCCTGGTGTTGTGGCTGTCGCTGCCGCATGCGTCGCTGCGAACCTGTCTTTCGCTGTGGCAGGCGCCCCTCGCGATTTTTCACGTGCGATATTCGATGAGACAGTGAATTACTGTCGAGGGAATTGGCCGTATCCCCGCCGATCGGGCGATGCTCAATAAGCCTCGCAGGCAATCCCATCCCCGGGGTAAACGTCCAGCCTTGTACGGGGATTTCGCTTATGAAAACGACACGCACGCATCAATTGCAATTTGGATGAGCACCGCTTGATGGTGACACCGGCTGGGGCTGATCGTGCCTCTGCAAAGCTGCGCAGATTTATGATCTCTCACGGAGGTTCGACTTTCGGAAGTTGTGTCTTTAATGAATGTGAAGCAGGCTTTTTGGGCCATTTTGAACATGCGTAAACTTTCTTCATAGGACTTGCAGGTCACTGTTGAAGCCATTTCTTAAATCACATCCTGCATGAAAGAGCTCATTCGCGAACTGAATATTCAGGTGCATTATTTTATGCGTAATAGGCATAGGTCTCACGCATTATTTCAGCAACCTCCATTATGAGGAGGGCCACTGCCCCGTCAAAAGCACGAAATACTCTGTTTATGGTATCTCATTCGGGTTATGGGATGAAAACGGAATTTATCCTTGCGTATCCTCCCCCTTGCAGCACTGTTAATCTGCTGCAAGCGTCGGCCGAGCCGGGCAAATCGAACGTCACCTGGGTACCCAGCTTAATGAACGACTTCAGTCCTCGAATAAAATAGATGTATCTCTATAACGCACGATTTAATTGCGCATTTTACTCTTTCCTATCTCATATCCGTCAGCGCTATGCAAATGCTCGGCTAATCCCTACCGTGCTTTGAGCGGCCACTCGAACACAATATCTGCGGCCGGCCGCCATAACTTACGGCGTCGCTCCGCCGGGAATGCCGGCCGGGCGGCGGCCGTCGGCGGCGGGCGCTGCTCCGGCCGCCGCGCCCGGCCGCCGCGCCGCCCCGGAGCGGGTCCCGGCCCGCCGGTCCCGGTCGACGCCACGGGTCCCAGCTGCTGGACGCTGGGTCAGGGCGGATGGATGGATGGATTGGGACGGAGCCCGCAGCCCGCTGCGCTTTACAAAGCCCTCGGCTGCCGCCGCCGCCGCCGCCGCTGCCGCCGCCGCGGCTGGCCGGCCGGTGGCGATGAAATATGGCCGCCGCTCGGTCGGCTGGTCGGTTGGCTGGCGTGCTGGCTGGCGAGCGGCCTAACCGGGCGGTCCCGTGTACAGCGCGGCGGTGCACGGAGGCGGCGGCGTCCGGTGCATTCGTGCATGGCGGGCCCGGCCCGGCCGGCCCAAAACAGCGGCCTGCAGCGCAACCGATTAAGGTGATCGCCGCTCCCTTGACACGTCGTCCGTTACCAGCGGTGACGCCTCGTGTGGAGGCTGCATTGTTCGGAGGAGCTGGATCTGTGTCGGCGACGCGCGGACGTCGCGCTGCGGTGGCGTGTGTTGAGTGCGTCTTGCACTCAGCGGGGGCAGGGGCGTGCCTGTGGTCCAAGAGGTACGCGCGCTAATTGCGCTGACTGCAGTGCGAATTCTACAAACCGCTCATTGCCAAGCCACAGAAACGGCCTCCGAAACAGCTATACGACCTCTAGATGAGTTGTTTCCGTCGAAGCAATCATTCTGGCGCGCCCCGTGAAATTATGACCAGCACCGCAGCGGGCCCACGCCGCGGCCGCTTCTTCTCCGATTGGCGGCCTCGCCGGCTCTGCGCAAGACGACGAGGAGTCGCAGCGCATCAGAGAGACCCTAGGGCGCCACGCGACGCGCACGGGCCGCCGCCGAGCGCGTCCATCGGCACGATTGCCCGCGATGCCGCCCGCGGCCGCGCATCGGCCATCGGCCGAGCTCCGGGCGTCGGCCGCGCGGCGCGGGCAGGGCGCCGCTGCCCGCGGCGGCGGGCGGCGGCCGGAACGCCGGCCGCCGAGCCGAGGCCGGGCAAGGGTGCCGGCGTCCGGCCGGCCGCTGGGTGGGCCGGCCCTCATAAAAAGCCGGCCGGATGGAATGCCGGTATCAGATCGGGTCCGCGCCGGGCTGGGATCGGGGCGTCCCGTCAGCCCGTTACCCACCGGATCGGCCCCGCCTGACCCTCTGTTTATGCCGGCAATTACGTCACCCCTTGTTTAGTGCTGTTTCGGGAGGCCTGGTGCAGTCCATAAAGGCAGTGGTTCGCATTAGTGCTCAGTAGTTTGTTTAAGGACTACGTAAGCCCTCGACTAGAAGCGCCGGCTCGGCCTGCGGGCGTGGACTGTGTGACGCTGGGAAGTTTGTTTGCACGGGGGTATTTTCGCTTATCATGAACGATAAAGACGTCCGCTCTTTATCCCCGTAACCTTGAATGATGAAATTGCAGTCAGACGTTGTGATATCTCCCACGTAATTTTGCCCACAGGGCCGGATGCGGAGCACGCGGCTCACGGCCGGTCATCATGACCCCACCTCATGCCACTCCCCTCGCTAGAACGCTGATAAATCTTGCCGCGTTTTTGCCAACGGTCGGAGGATTGATGGTTAGCTTTTAAGGGAGGCAGGCAGAGTGAATTGATACCAGTGTTATTCCATTATGAAAGACATTAATAATGATCACTTGTAGCGTTCTGCAAGTCATGCCTAAATGAAGAAGAATGCGTTTTAGCTTCTGGGGAATGGAAAGGCAGCCGAAGATCCATTTTGCGCGATGTTCGCGAACATTTACGTCTTATAAATGTTCCATTCAGAAGCATTGCAGTAGTTCTGGTTGGAACGATGCAAGCTGAGCTTGGTTAGAATCTGAAATTGTTACATTCGACCCACAGCAGTTCGTAAAAGTGTTCGGATCTATCGTTCAAAGCAGCTGCCATTGATTTTTGGTATCATGCCTCCTGGAGGATTGGCTTGTGTTGTTTCACTAATGATTTCTGAACGATTCAATTGGTCCCTCTTAACCTTTCCTTTATTAACCGGCAAACGTTTAGAGCTGGTTATCGCAGGCATTAAGCGTATCCATCACCAACCTATATCGAGTTACTAAGATTGCAGCCTGTCTCATTAGACTCGTGCGCAGGGTGCTTTCCTTGGTTGAGGACTTGGTTAAGAATGTTCGAATAGTTATTGGAATATTGATGGTCGCAGAATGCATGTTATGTGAGGTAGCAGCGCAATATTCGGAACATTTCTAATTTTTATTCAAGTGGCTCACAAAAAATGTCTTAGATAAAGCACTTTATAGATTCAGTAGGCAGTTAACTCTGTTAAACCCATCTCTCTCGAAAGCAATTAGTGTTGCGGAAGAAACTGTGCTTTGGAGTGGCGTTTGATGTGCAGAACAGCATTTCAATTGTCGCTTGTGCGATGCGAGTCTGGGCACACATGGCCGCAGCACTGAATAAGCAGCAGTACACCTCACAGCTGGTCATCGCCTCTCAGAGCCGGCTATCACACTCAAGAGCTGGTCTGCCGCTGGTCTACCTCAGAGGTGGTCATCACACTTCGAAGCTGTTTACCGCTGGCCTACCTCAGAGCTGGACATCACACCCCAGAGCTGGTCATCACACCTCAGAGCTGGTTTACCGCTGGTCTACCTCAGAGCTGGTCATCACACCTCAGACCTGGTTTACCGTTGGTCCACCCCAGAGCTGGTCATCACACCCAAGAGCTGGTCCTCTGCGCCGCTGTAGGGAATGCTGAAGACGGCAGATTACGGAGCTGTTACAGGCCAGACAGGACGCCAAGAAAGATAAAAATAACAACTGCATCAGGAGAGAAAAGTACGCAGCTCTTATTGCACTTACTTCAATCCTGCTTTTTATGGGGGTTGGGTAGCATATTCCTTCAGTTAGCCG